TCCTAGGAATCGAACTGCTAGGTTGTATGTTGAGTTTATCTTTAGCTTTTTGAGAAACTGCTCAACTGTTCTCCAAAGTGGCTGTACCACTGTACGTTCCAACCAGAAATGTATATATGAATTTCCACATCCTTGCCAATACTTGCTATTGTATGTATTTTTATTATAACCATTCTAGTGAGTGTGAGATGGTGTCTTATCATAGTTTTAATGTATATTGTTGATCATCTTTTCATGTCCTTATGAGTCATTTAGATATCTTTAGTGAAATAACTAATCTGATCTCTTCCTCGTTCATTAATTGAGTTGTGTTTTATTATTGAGTTATAAGAGTTCTTTATACATTCTGGATACAAGTCTGTGATGTTTAATTTTATGTGTCAACTTGACTGGATTAAGTAAGACACACGTAGCCAGTATTTCTGTGAGGGTGTTTCCAGAGACATTGGCATTTGAATCAGTAGGCTGAGTATGGCAGATTGTTCTCCCCAGGGTGGATGGGCATCATCCATTCCACCGAAGACTGAGTAGAACAAAAAAAGGAAAAAGGGTGAATTTCCTCTTCTCCTCCAGCTGGGACATTCATAATCTCCTGCCCTTAGATATAGCAGAGCTCCTAGTTCTCTGTCCTTCAATTCTTCCCCCCTTGGACTTAGTCATGGGCTCCACTGGCCTTCAAAGTAGGACTGAATTATACCACTAGATTTCCTGGGTCTCCAGCTTGCAGACAGCAACTTCTCAGTCTCAATGATCACATGAGCCAATTCCTATAATAAATCTCTTCTCATATATTTACACATATCCTGTTGGTTCTGTTTCTCTGGAGAATCCTAATGCAAAGTGCTTTATCAGATATATGATATATTAATGCAAATGTTTTCTCAGTCTGTGGCTTATCTCTTCATTTACTTAGTAGTCTATTTTAAAGCACAAAATTTTAAAATTTTAATTAAATCCAATTCCTCCATTTTTTTCTTTTATGGGTTACGCTTTTGGTGTCACATCTGAGAACTGTTTGCCTACCCCAACATCACAAAGTTTTTCTCCTATGTTTTCTTTTAGATATTTTACAGTTTTGGCTCTTACATATAGGTCTATAACATATTTTAAGTTAATTTCATAAATAGCATGCGATAAACATTTTGTTGCATGTGAATATCCAATTGTCTCAGCCCCATTTATTTAAAGTCTATCTTTTCCTCATTGAATTGTGTTGTCACCTTTGTTGAGAAATACTGAGCATAAATGTAAAGGTTTATTTCTATATTCTCAATTCTGTTACATTGATTTATACATCTATCCTTGTACAATTACTGCATTGCATTGATAGCTGTGGCTTTAGTAAGTTTTGAAACAGACTATGGTAAGTCCTCTAATTTTGTTCTTGTTTTTCAAAATTGTTTTCGCTATTCTAGTTCCATTACATTTCAACTTCTCAAATTCTCCAAAAAAGTCTACTGGTAATTAGACAGGGATTATATTTATACATCTAGGGAGAACTGCCATCTTAATCATACTGAATCTTCTGATCCATGGACATGAAATGTCTCTATTTATTGAGGTATGTTTTTAATTTCTCTTAGACTGGCTGCCTTTAATTTCTCCATCTTTCCCTCCTTTCTTCTCTTCCTTCCATGTTGCACAAGTTGAAATCTCCAATGTAATACTGAATAGAAGTGCTGAGAATGGAGAAAATTTTTACTTTCCTGAACTTAGGGAGAAAGTATTCAGTCTTTCAACATTAAATATGATGTATGGTATGGTTTTGGTAGATAATTTTTATTAGTTTGTGGAAATTTCCTTAGTTGAGAGTTTTTAATCATGAATATATGTCATGTGTTCGATTTTTGTCAAATCCTCTTTCTGAGATGATTATGTAGGTTTTGTCCTTTATTCTATTCAGCTGGTGCAGAACATAAACTGATTTTTGGATTTAACTCAATCTGCATTCCTGTGATAAAACCCACATGACCATTTTATAATTCTTTTAATTTGCTATATTTGGTTGGATAAATTTTGTATAGGACTTTTGTATCTGTGTTCTTAGAGAAACTGGCCTGTAGGTTTTTGTTTGTTTTCTTGTGATGTCTTTGTCTAGCATTCGTATTGGGGTAACTAATCTTACCGAATTAATTAGAAAGTGTTCTCTCCTCTCCTACTTTCTAGATGAGTTTGTGAAGGACTAATATCATTTCTAGTTTAAATGTTTGATAGTATTCACTAGTAAAGCCAACTGGGCCTGGGTTTTTCTTTATGGAAAGATTTTTTAATTAATATTTTAATTTCTTTTCTTG